TAGTATTGGGGTCTATGTTGGGGTCCCCCCATATTTTGGGAAACTACTATATAATTTAGGAAGACCCAACATATTGGGGTCCCCCCCCCCCCATTTTGGGAAACTACCATATCCCACGCTCATAGAGCAAGTTTAGTGCAGGCAAGATTCAATGACAGGCGAGGAAGTAGGCGTAGCTGCAAGCAAGTCTGCCATCTGTGGGAGCTCAAGGATTCAGGGTTTAAGGGTTTAGGGTTTTAGGGTCAAGGGTTTAGGGGTTCAGGGTTTAGGCTTTAGGGTTTAAGTGCACAGATGTAGTAAAGAGTCTTCCAGGCAGGGTATTACCAGGTAGGTACCCTTACATAAGGATTCTCTGGAAGGAACGACAGATTTCAAATAAAGCAAGGCCATGTAAAGGGATGCATGCGGGGGACTATCCAGATGATTTTTCCAAAAGTCCGTAGAACAGAAAACACCGGGGGTTTCCCAAAAATAGGGGTACCTTTTTGGGGGTTTATGGGGATTATATAGGGATATATAGGGTTTAGGGATTAGGGTTTAGATCTCTTGGACCTAAATACTTAGTCCAAAAAGGTCTCTGTGATACAAAGCACAGTGATTATGAAAGGGTTGCTGCGGTCAAGCTTCTACACTATGTGTAAACCTCCAAGCCTTAGGACTGAGGAGCAAGACTTTTGTAACTCTAAACCCTAAACCCTGAACCCTAAACCCTAAAGTCAAGCCACAGGGTTCGTCGGTTTAGGGCTTGGGGGTCAGCAAGCTCCATGAGCACTGTAGGGTTTAGGGTTTAGGGCCCTACGCCCTAAATCTACTCTCTGCAGCCCTACCATTGAAACTTCGTGCCCTGAGCAAACCATCAACCAATACAACCCACCCCCAATTAATTGTCAACCACTAATGGGGATATGCCAAAACAAGTAAAAAAAAAAAAAAGCGGACGCTCAACTTGTTTGGCTGTTCACACCTCGAAGTTGGAATTCATGTCCTTCAAGCCGCACTCTGAAAACTGACAGTCTGGATCCCTAAACCGCGAAACCCGCACCCCTACAGCTCAAAATCTGAAACCCGAACGTCTAGGGTGTATAGTCCCCCTTAGGTAGATCGAATATGGCTTTGGGTATTTTATCATAAGATCCCCATATACCCCATACTCTATCTACTTAAGGCGGGCTATAGACCCCAAACCCTAGACCCTAATCTCTAAATAACCCATATTCTATCTACTTAAGGGAGCCTATAGGCTTTAGGGGCCCCAACAACCCAGATCCCAAACCCCTCGCATCATGGCCGCCTTTCATGGCGACACTCCAGCGTTCGCCAGAACTGTCTTTCATGTCCTGAAAGCCGGATGCAGTTTTGGGGTTTAGTGTTTAGGGCTTAGGGCTTAGGGTTTAGGGAGTTTGAGGTCGGTAAGGTGTTGGGAGTTTGGGGTGCCTCAACTCTCTAAGTTACATGCTCTGTACCTTCAAAGGATGGGGAGAGTTGTAGGAAAAACCTGCAGATGAGAAATGGTAGCTTCTCAGAATCAGGGCCTAAAGGGTCCCCCTTATAGACCCCAATAGACTATAATCCTTATTCCAAAATGGGTACCCTTGATTTTGGGAAACCCCCTAAACACTAAACCTCAAACCTCAAACCCTAAACCCTAAAACCTAAATATGGTGCCCCTACTACCCAGACTACTCCCCCTTATGGTCCCCGTGAACCATCCTTAGCCCAAAAGTTCCGCAAAATGTCTGTAGTGAAGGGTTTGGGGGGTTTAGGGTTTAGGGGTTTAGGGTTTAGGGGTTAAGGTTTAGGGGTTTAGGGGTTTAGGGGTTTAGGGTTTAGGGTGTAAGGGAACCCATGACAAGCGCGTAGCCTCCGGTTGAGTAGTCCCATCCGAACAGCTTGTTTTTTGGTGGTCAAAGCCAGTAAGATCTGATTATATCTTAAGTGGACCCCACACCCAGGGTGTTGAGTCCTCCTAAATTATATGGTAGTTTCCCAAAGAATAGGGAGACCCCAATATATCTCAAAATCCTATGACCCTTATTACTGGGAACACCCAAAAATGTGCCCTTCATTTTAGGAAACCCCCGTATACTTCTTACAAAACACGATAACCTGACTCAATGTGCTGGGAAGCCGACGGCGACCCAGCACCTTCTATTCCCAGCCTTCAACATCCTCAACAACCCTTACTTCAAGGGTTTCTAGTAGGGTTCATAGGGTTTAGGGATACATAGTCAAGGGTACCCCAGGCCCAACCCTAAGGGCTTAGAGCAACCATTGCTTAATACAAGGCTGGCGCCAGTTCATGGGACCTCGGAAGCCATTCCAAGCTCACACTGTGTCCCAAAAGAAGGTGTGCCCTCTCTAAAGCCTACGCAACTTGCATACTTAGAGGGTCATGGGGACTTAGTAAGTATGTCAATAATGAGGAAAATTGGGATTATTAATTGGCTTATGGGGATTATTAACCTACTTACTAAGCCCCCATGACCCTCCGAGTATAAGCTACAAAATCCAGACCCAGTTCGTGCAATTCCCGTGCGCAATCTATCTAATGTTGGGGCCTGATTACTGTGGGGGGCGCCCCCCCCCCCCCGAATATGGGGGCCCATTTAATGTAGAGGGGGTGTACCCCCAAACAATCCATGGCTTTTAGATTTCAATTCAAATTCAATAGGAGGGATCAGGATCTGCACGGTAATAGATCAGAAGGGTTTTAGAAAGCATTTCAAAGGCTATCTATTGACTTATTCTGAGAAATATTTTCTTGGCCGCGCAACTTCGCACAATTAAGGCACACCAAGGAGGACCTGTTTACGAGAAAGGCCCAGAAAGTCCACTCAAACAAAGGGCAACTGCGACGTTAGCGGCATTGCCAGAACTATGTGTTAGGTCACTCCCCCCAACAGTGACACTTACCACAAGAAAGAGTAGGAGCTATACTAGCCCTTAATTAGAATCCTTGAGGGACCGTTTCTGTGCAGGGAAGTGGGGTGCCCTCTACATCCCGCGCTCTGCCAGAACGGTCACGCAAAATGGACCATAATTCGACCAACACCTACCCTAAGGGTCCAAGGACCCAAATAATAGGGCTTTAGGGCCCAAATACCATTCATATTATAATATTTGGGGCCTGAAGCCCTATTATTTGGGTCCTTGGACCCTCAGGGCTATGTGCTGCTCAGCGGCCGTGGTCGTGGTCTGGTAAAAGGCAGAATTGGGAGCTGCGAGCTTTTTGCAGTGCGGATGCAGATCTCAGGGGCGTGCGGGGATTGCCAGGGGGTGGTGCAGGGACTGTAGTCCCCCTTAAGTAGATAGAATATGGGGTATATGGGGATCTTCTTATAGTAAACCCAAAGCCATATTCTATCAACTTAAGGGGGACTATATGTCTGGAAAATGTTGTGGAAGACTTGTGGTCCCTCCTGGGCTCCTGCCTCAACCCTGGCCCCTACTATACTACGACCCCCATTTTGTGGGGCACCCCAGAAAGGATCACAGCTTTGACAACCCATTGTTCCCCAATCCCTCGAACGGCCTCAGGGTGTCCAGGGACAGGGCAGCAGCCTTCGGAGACCAGCACAGCAGCCCCCTGTGGCTGGGGCGGGGCGTGTTGCCCGCTCAACAGTTGTGGCGACGTGCCTTCGCCACCTCAAGACGGTTCAGGGCTTGGTGTTTAGGGCTTACCCGACCCTTCAGTGGAGCTCTTTTTTGGGTTTGGTATGGTTTTTCGGTATTGATTCGTGTTAGGGCCCCTCCACAAAATTACTACGTTGGAGGGTCCAGGTAAGCCTTAGGGCTCTCAGTTGCAGATTTGTTGCCGCGATGTGTTGGACTGGGCTGGGCGCTGTGGAACCTAAAGCCGCACGGGATGCAGTGGATAGAAAACACCCACAAGGTCAGTTCAACTGGAACTCGCTGCAGAATCACGCGGAATCCCTACTACACAACCCTTCCATGATTCATCCGTCAGCCATGAAAATTGCAATCCTTACGTCAGCCCCCCAACATCGAGACCTGTCCCTACCCGCGAATCCTGCACTAAAGGGCCCGAAACCCCAAGCCCCAAAATCTCAACCCAACAAAGCCCGAGACACCAAAGGTTTAGGGTTTAGGGTTTAGGGCTGAGTGGGGAATGGCGGAACGAAAAAGAGGTATGGACGAGCATAAGGGAATAGGTAAAGAACAGGTAAAGACTACTCAGTGACTCTAAGCTGTACAGCCTACGAATCCCCAAACCCCAACCCCTAAACCCTCAACCCTGACCCCCAAACACTAATCTACACTCAAATCCTCAAACCTTAAGCCCCAATCCAACTTCCGTAAACCCCAAACCTTAATCCCCAACCCCTAATCCCTAATCCCTAGGCCCTAATCCTTAAACCCTGACCCCTTAACCCAAACCCCCAAACCCCAAGCCCTCATCCCACCTCTCGAAGTGTTCCGGCTCAGGTTCCGAAAACTCGAGCACCACGGGACCACCGGGCTCTGGCTTTGGGTGTGGCAGCTTCCTCGTGCAGCTCTCTTTAAAGGGGGCTTAGGGATATCTAGGGGGTTTTAACACGCAGTAGAACAATCGAGTAGTAGTGGTGTACAATCAAAGCCCCGCATGAGCGCTCTGCAACTGGAGTCGAACGAGTGTTCTAGCGGCTACCCAACACGAGCTACCGTCTAAACTCCAAATATCCCCCTCAAGAAGCCCTATACTACTCCCTTTATAATTCTCGATAAGCCCCCCTTTGGGGAGTTTAGACTATAGCTCATGTATTTAGGTTTAGGCAAACCAGCACAACTTGCCTGAATCCCGATCTGCGTAGGCAGAACGTCAAAGGTAAACCTGAAACCCAAAAACATATTTCCCGAACCCCAAAGTCTGGATCTCTTAGCCCTAAATAGGGTTTGGGATGTAGGGTTGCGGGCTTTAAAGCACGTATCCTGAGCACTCGAACTCTGAACTGCGAACCCGAACCCTAAGCTCAAAACCCTGAACCCTAGACCTCCAATCCTGAATCCTAAGCCATAGACCCTAGACCTTTGACCCTAAACCATCAACCCTAAACCCTAAGCATTAAACCCTAAACCCTGAACCCTCAACCCTCAACCGTAACCCCGAACCCTGAACCCTCAACCCTAAACCGAAATCCTCAACAGATCGGGACGGGGTGCAGCTGTGTGGAGGCCAGCAGGAGACCATATGCACCATCCCCTGATTAAGGGCTGCCCCCTAAAAACTTGCTGCCATTTACCCTAAACCCTAAACCCTAGGGTCTAAGGTTTAGGGTTTTAGGGTTTAGGGTATAGGGTTTTAGGGTTTATGGTTTAGGGATGTTTCTATGCATATCAGGGGAAAACTGGATGCTTAGGGTGGCGAAATGCTTTCTTATCGGGAGGGGAGGTGGTTGGGAAAACCCTTCTCTGCAACACACCGAGGTCCCAAAGGTAGAGGGCTTACGTAGATCCGCAAGAGTCCCAACCCCAAAAAGGAACTGCTTAGGGTTTAGGGTTTAGGGTAACCAAGCCCCAAAAGGGAACTGCATTAGAGGGTCCAGGTATGGGGTAGACTTACAGTCGAGGGTCCGGCAATTGGGTTTCAGAGATCCGTTAGAGCTTCTGGCCCAAACGAAAGGCTTTGGTGGATTTAAGCTGCATCACCCTGAACCCGTAAAAGCACGATTTTTTGGGGATTCAGATTCTATAGTTGAGGGTTCAAGTGGCAGTTCGACTACAAGTTCAAGCTTCACAGGGAGCTGTACCTTCCGCGGCTCGTGTTAAGGATTTAGGATTTGGGGTTTACTGCTTCAGGTTAAGGATCTAGGGGCTTTGGTTCAGAGCCCTGACTTTGGCCTCCTGGATTCTAACCTGAAATCTTAAACCCTAAACCCTAAACTCTAACCAGAAATCCTAAACCCTAAACCCTAAACTCTAACCAGAAATCCTAAACCCTAAACCCTAACCAGAAATCCTAAACCCTAAACCCTACCCTGAAATCCTACTCTGAACCCTGGAAGCCCGCTAGGTCCTTCGGCCCCGAAGCCAACTGAGGTCTGCAAACCATTCCCCATTCCTAGCCAAGCATCAGCCAGACAACCTAAAAACGGACCCTCAACAATCCTAGACATTGAGCATTCCCCAAAAAAACCTAAGGTCCAAAAGCATTGAACCCTAAAAGCATAGCCCTAAACGTCTGCGAGGCTCCCTTTCGCCCGTGCTCCGTATCCCCAATGATGGGACAGCCAACCCTGGGCACGTCTTTGATTTATGGTTTACGGTTCAGGGCTTCGGGAGTATCGTGACTGCAAATGCTTGGAACTATGGCATAGGGCCTACCCTCCTGGCAACTAATTAACATGGAAACCCCTAAACAGCAGCATGAAGACGACAGTCTCTTCAAGAGGGAGCTATGTGAGTTTCAATGTTAGTTGGGGGGAGTGTATGTATTGGAGGTCTTGGGGATTTCGACGGGGATATGCCAAGCAGCTCCCGTCATACCGGCTGTGATACTAAGAGGAACCTCACGGACCACATCCCCTGAGGATTTAACACATGGGCCTACTTGCACTGACAGGCAACACTGGTAATAGGAGATATTTACACTAGCCCCTTCATGAAGGCCCTTTAAGGACACTTACTGGGAGGGGAAACGCAAATGGAGGGAGCCGGTTTCTTTGGGATCCAAGGGATAATATCCTGTAATTCTCCCTCTGGCCCCAAAGAATGTGACTCCCTCCATTCTACAACGCTGTGACAACCACAACCCTAAACCCTAAACCCTCGAGAGGCATACTATCTTCCCATGGCCACTACCCTGAACTTCGTGGTGGCCAGGCGGCATTGCCATGTGAATTCGCAGCTGGTGCCTCGTCCATGGGTTGCGGTTTACGGCTTCAAGTTACAGGAAGTTGCACGTTAAAGTGCTCGGCCTAGGCCTGTGGCACCTAGAGTGATGGAGTTGTGGGATGTGGTGGTTGATCAACATTAGAGAACCAATCTTGTAAGGATCCAAACTCTTTTCTGAAGCTCTACCTCCAATGTAGTTTCTCTCGATTTCGGGCCGTAGAGTCAATGCAAAGCCAGGAAAGGCTTCAAGAAGACATATCATTTGCTCGGCACACCTTTTGCATCCGAGACCTGCAAGCAAAAAACAAAGGCAGGCCGACATAAGAACTGCTTCGCACCTCGCGGTTAAGGCTTAGGGTTAAGGGTTTAGGGCTTAGGGTTCATTGTTTAGGGTTGAGGGTTGAGGTTTTAGGGTTTAGGCTTAGGGCTTCAGGTTTAGGGACCCAAAAACCGAACGTTCTGTCTCGAATTGCGCATGGCCCATACGATCCCGTTTCTGCAATCGAAAAAGCTCGACCCCAAATCTAATGGCCCATACGAGCTATAGCCTAAACTCCTAGTAACCCCTTAATGAGCCCTATCATCCTCCCCTATATAATCCCCTATATAACCCCTTAGGCCGTTGAGACTATAGCCAATATGAGGTCCCCATGCTTCAAACCTCTTGCTTAGCTCTTCCATGCGGAGACTTCCCTTTCGCTCCCCTTAAGGCCTCCCTGCAGCTGCCCTTAAGCCTCCTCATTGCGATAATAAATTGGGGTTATATTGGGGCCGGATTGGGATACTGGAAAAGAAAATGGAAACTACTATAGTATATCGGGGTTATATTTGGAAATCTCAACAGCTTCATATTCCTTTCAATTTTCTGAACATGACAAGCATTAAGAATCA